TGAGTGCTTATGGCACACTTGGGAAAGAGGGAAGAAAACAGTCTGGGCACAAAAAGGCATCAGACATTGCTCGTCATCCCACTGGTCAAGGAAAGTGGACAGGTCAACAAGCATCATCAAAAAGATAGTGCTGGCTCAAAAATTCCAAATTCTCTTGATGATAGATGACCATGATGGGTATATCTATTTTTCTCCCCCTTTTGAGCTCATGCACAATTTAAAAAAATGCTACCAGCAACAGTCATAAAGAGCATATAGAAGTCCTCACCTATGGCTATGCCTAAGGCTCTTCCAAGAGAGGGCTACTTAATGTTCTCAATCACAGCAATCTCTTCGCCAGCACAGTGCGGCGTCAAGCCATTCAGATAGATGCTTTCAGTCTTCAGTAAGGGAGGCAAGACATCCCTCTCGCTGGTCAGGTGGTTCACTGACAGGGTTCTCCTACAAGGAGTCAGCTCCTGACTGTGGTTCCCGGCCAGTTCTGCTGAGAGCTTCCGCTTGATGGAGGTGGCCCGCTGAAACTTGTCATAGATCTCCACGCTCAGCCGTCTCCTGGTTTCTTTGAATTCAGCAGTGACGTTGGCTGTCCACTCAGCAGCGTGCGCTCTGAACTCTCCCACCTGGAGCATACAAGCAGAGAAAAGACAAAGCAGTATTAACCCAGTGGTCAGCATTGCGTGTGCTCTGTCTCCTGTTCATTTTCTTTTGGAGTTTTCACAAGAAAAAGGCACAAATTTATGGGGTACAGTGTTGATTTTTCAGTACATGTAGACAATGTGTAATGATTGAGCAGGGTAATTATCATATTATCTCTCAAACACTTAACATGACTTTGTGTTGGGAACATTCTAGATTCTCTTATTTAACTACTCTGAAATGTATGATGAATGATTATTGATTACAGTTAACCTACGGTGCCACTAGAACTTACTCCTTTAACTATAATTTCCTGTCTGTGAACCAACACCGCTGTCCTCCTTGGCCTTCTTGTCTTCTCAAGCTCCAGCAATCTCTATTCCACTCTCTTTGAACTTTTCAAGTTCCCACGCATGAGTGAGAACATGCCATTTTTCTCCTTCCATGCCTAGGCTATTGAAATAATACTTTTAATGTAAAAAGTTAAGAGATTTGGCTGTTTCCTCTACCAGTTTTAACCTACTTTTAAAAGACTTAGAATTGTATCATGTGTAAGGCCAGTCCATGGCTTGGTGGTTAAGAGAGGTGGATTCCACATGTCTGAGTACACAGTTCAAATCCCAGATGCTGTAGACTGAAAAATCTCACTGTGCATGGGTTCACATTTGCCCAAAATCCTGAATGGAGAGTTGAAGAAGGGATCCATCATGACCATTCTCCAGTCCCCACTTTCCTGCTCTCTCCTTATCTCTCCCTGGCGAGTATATGTATCTTCCGGCAAATTTGGGGGGGTGGGGGGACTGCAGCATGCTTAAAGATTATACTCAAATACTAAAAAATTCTGACCAATTCGTCTACAGCAAAATAGTATTTCCAACAAGTGTTTGTGTGTTCTTAAAATACAAAAGACTACACTATTACTAATTATAATAATAAGGCTGGTGGTAAGGTTATGGCTTGCCATGGTCCCTTAATTATTTACTAATTTTAAGGAATAAACATGTTTTTGGATGAGTATAAAGCAAATTCATGTTACATAAAAATCCACCCTACAGCAGCTTACATTAGGGTGAAGTTACATTGCCTTAAAGACACTGAAAATAATGAATTAACCCAAAAAGGTGTGCACTGGGGCTTCCGCTCTAAACCAACCATAGAATCGATTCCCTCTCTGCTGTGACCTTTCTACAGCAATTCATAACAGACTTAAGGCACATAGGTGCTCAAATTTAAACTTTTGAAAATTAAAATAAGGGAAAAGTAGAGTCCCTTCAAAAGCTAAACCAAGACAAGCAAAAGGAAGAATTATTTATTTCCACTCTTTTTTTAAAAAAACCCCAACTTAACCACCACATCACGACCGACTCCCAGACTCAGATCTTTTAATGGTGATAAAAATGTACATTCAAACCCAAAAGCACTGTTTTGTATTCAAAAAGAAAATTTAAAAATAAGTTTCTGAGAATACACATTTATATAAGTAAATTTTTCTTGACTGAAATGTTAATGCTTGTGTTGTTCTGGAGAATTAAAATTAATCCATATGCAGTGAACTACTTCAGTTTCATTGGAGTTTTATAAAAAATAAAAAATCTTGCAACAACTTAATCAAATAGTATGAGAGAGTCTTCAAAAAGTTTAAGAAAAATGTATATTATGTTGACAACATGGGAGTCCAGTGACATAGCCATTATGCTAACTGCTGGTCCCTTATGAAAAAAACTATGCATGGATTTAATTTTTTTTCCTTTGCCCCATAGTCAAGTCGTTCTTTAATTTCACTTTTTGAAGTGTCCATGTTTGTCATCTTCCTAATAACTAAGGAATCAATGGCACTTAGTAACAAAAGTGGGGACCAAAAACTGATCAAAATAGCGTCTAAAAGATCACGAAGAATGTTCCTGTAGCTCACATACTTTACAAAGAAAGAGGTCTTACCTGGATTCCATGTATTCTTAAATCTCACAGCACAGACGATCTGACTTACAGAAGAAAAGGAAGGAAAGAAATGCTCCCAGCAAGGACTTGCCTTCTGGACTCTACTAGAACTGCTTACAACCGCGTCACAGAACTCAGTGAGCCATTCTGCCGCTCTGTCCCTCACAGTCTTCACTCTCTCATGTTGGTTGCCATACTGTTCAGTCGTTGATTCTTCTCAGTCACCTACAAAGGCTCATTATCTTTTTCCTCCCCTAACTATCTTTGTTCCCCAGGGTTCTATTCTCCCTGGATGATTACAGCCTTCCAATTTTGTCAACTGCTATCTGTTTGCTGATGACTCCCAAACCCATATTTCTCTACTGAACCTCCTATCTGTATAACTGCTGATTAAACCTTCACTTCAGATGACTCCCAGGCATCATCACAAAGTCAACACATTCACAAATGCAATCACTTAATGCCTTACACTTGTTTTAAGGTTGTTTTTTGTTTTGTTGTTTTTTTTTTTTAATTTTCCCCCACAGGATGTGTGTGCTCACTGGAGAGACAGAGATGGAGACAAAGAGAAAGGAAGTGAGAAATAACTTCCCAGAGGTGCTGGCCATGCTACAATCCTTTCTTCTCTATTCTTCTCTTGGGATTTTGAGCATGTACGCACATGCATCTGACATGATCTTCAAGGTGCTAAATTTCAGGACTTGAACTGCAGTTGGCCATGTGGGAATCCAGTGCCTCAAGTACCACACCACCTGCTGGCCCCTCAAATCTGTTTTTAAACTTCATTATCTTATCACAGCACCATGAATTACTAAGTGTTCCAAATTGAACTTGTAAAAGGTCAATCCTCACTGGAGTAAGCATTTATTTGTAATGAAATGTAATATAATTTAAAGAAGTCTTTCAGTCATTACAGTTTGAAATCTCTCTTTTTTTAAGAGATTTTTGCTATAGGGCATGTGTGCTCACCAGTGAGACAGAAAGAGACAGAGAGAAAAAGCAAGAAATCACTCCCCAGAGGCAATGACCCCATCACAATCCCTTTCCTTCATTCTCTTCTTGGGATTCTGGGCACACACACACACACACATGTTCTGGTGTAAGTTTTAAGCTGCCACATCTGGGACTCAAACTGCGGTCAACCATGTGTGAGTCCAGTGATGTAACCATTATGCCATCTGCTGGTCCCTGAATTTTTTTTAAATACTTGCTCTTTATCAACTGCATTTCTAAAAAGATTATTTTCTTCTAAACAACTCTGCAAAATGCCAGCTCTGTATTATTCCAAGAAGGTGGAACCATTTTTTGAGGAGCGGTATTTCCTTATACTTTCTTCTCCCTCTGATCTGTTTCTGAGCCGTGTTTCGGTGATAGGAAGACTTATCATTCTACTCTGACTTTGGATAGGAGAACAGTTTCCAGGGCAAGTATCATCTAAAACTATCTTCTCTGAATGGCAAAAGTCACTTTCTCCCACCAGCTGGGTTACCTGAAATTTCACGATTAAATATTACCTAACATACAAGTGACTCCCCAGTTTTAAACAATGCTGTTCCACAAGCCCCGTTTTCCATAAAATTCAGCAAACAGATCACCAAGAGGTTGAACACAGTTTCATTTTAAATCTTCTGCAAAATTTATCTATAAAGATGGGAAATTCCTCAAATTTGAAATGACTTTAAGCACAATTTTACGTTATTTTCCTTGAATATTTATTTTCCAAAGCTGCTCCGCTCTGAACAAGTCTTTAACCCATCTATGACTCTCCATTCAATTGAAACACCTCATGTTTTCTGCTTCAATTTCCCATCCGGCCTACTTTCCCCAGCTTTGAAATTCCACAACACTCTGTAAAGAGATCTGGCTTTGGCCCACAAGGTGAAAAATTTTAAAAATCAAAATTTACCAATATTCTAAATGACTCATCTCAAAAAAATAAATAAATAAAAGTACCACAATAATATTATTCCAACTATATGCAGTCAGCCACTACAGAATGTAAATTTGTGGTATGATGTGGAAATGTGGCAACAGTAACTTTATCAATACTCTCAGAAAAAGAGCAATTCACATTTTCTTTCTCACTAAGCCTTTTCCATGCATTACTTCTTTTGAATTATTGCCTTCCCTTTGTCACTCCATGTATAAGGAATGTTTTATTTGAAGTCCTATAATGTTGTCCTAGTTATTCTTTCCCTTCAGAGATTACCCAGCCTTACCCGTTTTCTTTTTAATATTCTAATTGTCTTTAAGGAAAGCCCAGTCCCTGTCTTAGAGTCATCACTAGGTGGAGAAACTATTCTGAAAATCTCTAAGCTTTTCTAATTACCAACAACCAATTCAAGTATTAGATAATACTCATAAGGGCTTTCACTTTTTAAAAAAAAATACCCTATTTATGCACAGATACATAATTTTTAAAAATTTTAAATACCCTATTTATGCACAGATACATAATTTTTATTTAAAGATTATTTATTTATTCCAAGGGAGGAACTCCAACAGCGTCTTCATGCCACAATCCACCCTTCCATTCTTCTCTTGAGATCTCGGGCACGCACATACAATGGCGTGATTTCAAATCCTTCATGTCCAGAACTCAAATCTCATAGTCGTCCATGTAGAATCTAGCACCTGAACTTCCATGCCACCTGCTGGCCCACCAGTCACTGCTTCTGATGTGGGTAGAATAACAGAAATAGAGAATCTTTTCCCTAACAGATGTCTTCAAAAGAATCAGAAGCAAAAGTTGAATATTTAGCATTTGATGATGACTATGTGGTATTTTTACCACCATTAGTAAAACAAAGTTCCTCATTTTTAGCCAATGGTTTTTCCTATCTCTTTTTACAGTGGAATTTTAATTTACTTTTTTCAGTACTCAGATGCTTATATTCCTTAATGCTTTGACGAAAGGTAAATAATAAAAGTAACCAGATGAGCTGAAAACATTCCTCTGTTTAAATTTATAAAAATAATTTGAAGCCTACTTTGCATTTCAATTTCAGAGGTTGCCTCGACTGTAATTCCTAACAATTATCATTAA